CCCCCCAAGCGGCGAGCATGACCACTTCCTCATGCGTCTGCATGTTGTGGCGCTTGAACACTTGCAGACCTTCATCTCACCAGCGCTTACTGCTTATGACGTGGCAAACGGTAAAGCTACAAGCTGGAAAATCACTGGTTCGCGTGCTGATGGGGTGGAGCTTTTCAATTGACCTAATCCTTCCAGCCGCATTACGGCCCTGGGGTCGACTCAGCCTCTAACACAAATGATTGCCAGGAATCTTCGTCGATGGGCGGCCGGCGCGTAAGGCTGACATCCTCACCTCCATCTATGAGCCGACTGTGTAGAAAATGTGGGAACCTCGACGTCTCACAACCGTATGGACTTCCTCGGCGTGTTACAGGGATAGATTTACCTTTTTTTACTGATTATGAAGTGGCCGACGTGTTTTATGTGCAGGAGAAAGTTAGAGAGGAGATTAACGAGATCCTGGGTACGGACACAGAGCGTCGCTTCACCATGAAGGACCTGAACAGTATGAAGTACTTGGAATGCTGCATAAAGGAAGCCCTGCGGCTGTACCCCAGTGTCCCGGTGATAGCGCGCCAGCTCAACGAAGACATTAAAGTCGGTAAGTTCAACGCCCGCTGAATCCCTGGCACCAGATCGCGAAACTTCGAACATCGTACACAGCACATCACTGCGCACACTCTGTCCTCACAGCATATTTCCCGAACACCACGACTGTCGTCATAAGCCAACCTATCCTCCTGAACTTCTTTGCCTCCCCAACCAGAAGGCGAAGTAATGGTGACTGGCCATAGGCTGGACAACCTGGGTTCCACTTTCCTAGCAGAGACACACCATCAGCGCGTGCAGAGCAGATCAGACTTTATCCAACGGCAAGGTAAAGTTGTCCCTCTGCTTAATTAATTAAGCACCACGCCATGAAGATATGTAGGCGAGTAGAGGTATAGCTCCTGCCATGACTAGATTGAAGTGAGTGGTCAGCTTCACGCCTCAGCCACTTTACCCACCATGGAAGGAGCTCCTAGTCCACACTGGATAGGAGGCTGGGTGTCTCCGGAGCCGGTCTGGACGTCATGAAGAAGTGAAAGCTCTCTTGTCCCTGCCGGGAATCTAACCCCGGCTGTCCAGCCGGTATCACATCGCTATACCGACTGAGCTATTGTGGCTGTCTGTCCAGTGGATACTAGAAGAGGCTGAGTGGTCAGCTTCACGCTCCTGTCGCTTTACTCTCAGGGGGAACAGTTCCTGGTTTAATTTATATAGGAGGCTGAGTGGACCACAGAGCCGTCTGAACATTATGGATAAGAGAAAGGTCTTGTGCCCCTATCAGGAATCGAACCCCGTACTCTTCAGTCGTCCAGCCCGTAGTGTGGGTGCTGTACCAGCAAAATCGAATTATAAATTCGTAAAACACTTAAAATTAATAATATTTTGAAGTCACTGATGAAAGAAAATATTTGCTTTCATGCTGCCTTACCATTGTAATGCAGAAAGCTGTGCTATGTATGATAGACCCGTAATCATCTTCAGAATATGTATTCGATAGTGTCTTGCGGCATATCTGTTTTGGTTTATATGAGTGAAAGTGTTTACATGTCCTAACGTAAGGAGTTCATCGACGTTAACGACTTCTATCAAAGTTATTTCGATACTAATAACTTCTCATAGGTAAAAATACAAAAAAAAAGTAAAGCTGCCCTTGTAACAGGTCGTGCAGCCCCATAGGGTCGTGAGACATCGAGGCTCCCACATTTTCTCTAGACAATCGGCTCACAGATAAGGTTGTCAGCCTTACTCACCGGCCGCCCTTTAGCCCCCGCCCCCCAGAAGAAGATTCCTGGTACTCATTTCTGCTAGAGGCTGAGGCGACCCCAGGGCCATAGTGCGACTGGAAGGATTAGGTAAATTGAAAAACTCCACCTCATCGGGACTCGAACCCGCAAATTTCCGACTTGTAGCATAGTGCCTCAGCCAACTGCGCTACCGGGTGCCCATCACAATATTTTACTAAATATTATTTAATTTTATATTCACATAATTTGATTTGCAAAGTCCGAAAGGAAGGAGCCATAAGGTTGACCTAGGCATAAATGGAAGGAAGCTACGGTTGCCATAAAAAGGCTATTATCAGTTTCTCAAGAAATATTCGGCTCCACGGGATCATTTAAGAACCGGTCCACGCAGCACTCCCAAGGTCTTATCAGCCGTCCTTGTGTCACTGTATCATGCGCAGGGTTCAGAGTTCGTAAGTTTATCGTCATGGCTTCCTTTCTCTTTCTGTTCGAGTTCCCTTTTTTGTATTTGATATTTTAAACGCCGTCAGCATCTAGGCAGTGTCCATAGCTCATGCGGCTACTCGCCGACTTCCACCGTAGCAGGCCTTGTTCTATCCCATGTCAGATCATGTGTGATTTCTGGTGAACTAGGTGGCAATGGGGCGTGTTTTCTCCTAGTACCTCGATTTCCCCTGCCAGTTCTCATTCCACCGACTGCTCCACACTCATCATCTCATCCGGGAAAGCATTTGGTAGAAAGCGGTAAAAAAAGGTGAAGCTATCCCTGTAACAGGCCGTGGAGGCCCATAGAATTGTGAGACGTCGAGGTTCCCATATTTTTCTAGACACTCAGCTCACAGATGGCCCAGGAAGATTCCTGGTACTCATTTATGTTAGAGGCTGAGTCGACCCAGGGCCATAGTGCGGCTGGTAGGAACAGATCAATCGAAAAATCCAATGACCTCATCGGGAAAGAACCCGTTACCTTGCGGCTTGTAGCATAGTGCCTCAACCAAGCGGCCGTTACTTGTGATAGTATATTATAGTATAATTGTGATAGTATCCCAGCGTTTGCATGGAGGGACTGGGAAGACTACGAAAGGCCTCATTCCCTACAGCTGATGTGTCTCAACCGACGTCCTAACCTAGCATCTCCCGAATATGAATTTAGACCAGTACCGCTGCGCCAACTCCGTCGGTATTGCGACGGGCTACTGGCTGGACTGTCGTGGAATTGGGTTTCTGTTCCTGGCAGAGGCAACAGACCCTTCTCTTCTCCACGGCGGCTCTGAGACCCACGCTGCCTTCTATTCGATGGGTAACGTATTCTCTTTCTCCGAGGACAAAGCGGCAGGGGCGCGAAGCTGACCACCCACCTCCATCTAGGGGCGAGGTTACAATGGTATATTTGCAACACTATTCCCTCATATATCGACCGCCTCTGTGGTCTAGTGGTCACAGTTCCTTGCAACAGATTCAGAGGTCCGAGTTCGATTCCCGGCGCTACCAAATTTTCTGAGAAGTAGTGGGTCTGCAACGGGGTCCACTCAGCCTCGTGAGGATAATTGACGAGGTGTTTCAAGGAAACAAGTGGCTCCGGTCTAGAAAACCGAAATTGACGACCGCGGGGATTCGTTGCGCTGACAACGCAACACCCTCTATCCGCAAAAGTTGGCACTAAACTTCACCGACAAGCGGCAGTCGATCGGTCGGTATAGTTCGCTTGCGGACTAAAACAGTGGAGTTTGTTTTTGTTTTGTTTGTTTCCCTCATATACTAGTATCTCCATGGCGTGGCGCTTAATTAATTAAGCAAAGAGAAACCTTTATGATTATCTTCTCTACCTTCCTACAGATAGAGAAGTTGTTAAATGCTGTATCTCAAGTGTTATGACTCACGAGATAAATAGGTACAACGGACTTGTCTAATGTAAGCGAAGTTTTCCTTATAATTACATAATCTATTTACGATGATTTTTTAATCTCACAGTCACTTGTATGACTGCTTTCCTATCCGACACTACAACTAGACTGTACGGTTGCTCTGTCATTATCCTCCTTTCATGTATTTGAACCTTATTCAATCAACCTCTGTGCTCTCCATTAAGCGCACGTTCTGAATTAGGAACAAGTTTAACAAGTATTCCCATAATGGGAGGTTTGCAGTGTTTGTCTATTATCAAGGAAATCGGTCGTTGTTTGGTCTTATCTTTCCCAGGAATCCCTCTCCTCTAGAACAACACTTTTAAATTCTATTAGACTCCCAAGAAAAACAGTTTTCTATAACAGTTCTGAGTGCTGAACTGCAAAGGTGGAGAGTACATGCAAATTCCCTTTCCCTCAAAAGTAACCTGTTACTCAAATTTAAGTAACACGTTTCAGCCTACCTTACTTCCTTAAGGTATAAGAAGGTTTTTGAAATAACAGTGATGCATATGTGTGTGATTGCTTGTGTGTCCCCAATATAAATATTTGAATCAGTTGGCTGATTGTTACGAATTTTGTATCCACGTAGTCGATATACGAATATTCGAGCTTTATTAAAGCAGGATTCAATCCACACGCAACTTATTTTTTCAATGGCTCTTCCAGCCCATTCAGGGCTCTGGCCTTTTATTTAGTTACGTAATCATTTTTCACAGTCGGTAGGATTCCTTGGGCAAGTGACCAGCCCGTCGCAAGGCGCTACCTACATACAGGACAACACAAACGCAGAATAGGTATCAAGGAGAATTAATTTCGACTTTTATTATTTTCAATTAATATATTTCATATTCATTTTGTTGTCTTAAGTTTTGGGAGTATATAATCGTTTATGGTGCTAAGTATTTCACTGGAGTCCCTCCAACTTCATACATTTTCAATCCCATACAGCCAGCAATACAATAAAAACATGGCGGATATGCTAGCTTGTGCGACACTAGCGCCACTAAAATTAAGGCCCTGCCCTCAATGATGTAAAATAGCAAAATTTCGAAGAATAATCAGAATTTATTAAAGTAATAAATTTCTGGAATGTCAACTAGCGAGAAACTTCCCCTTCCATTTCTGTTTGATGACGAAAACTAACGAACAGCTGGAGATCATAAACATTTATACATACACGTGTTGTGTGGAATCTATTGGTAAGGTAATATAACTGTCCCTTTTCCTTCCTTTGTACTTATGACGGCTTCGGTAGACCACTTAACTCCTCTCGGGTTCGTAAAAGGTAAGGTAAAATTGTCCGTGTGCTTAACTAATTAACACTACGCCATGAAGGCGTATGGTGGAGTGGATGTATAGATCCACATTTTCTTGACCTCCGCACTAGCCGGAGTGAGTGGTCAGTTTCACGCCACTGGTGGTTTACCCCCGGAGAAATAGCACCCCGTACCCATTGGATAGGAGGCTGGGTGGGCCCCAGAGCCGGTCTGGACGATATGGAGAAGAAAATATTCTGGCCCTACCGGGACTCGAACTCCGACCCTTCGGTCGTCCAGTCCGTAGGCAGTCGCTATATCGGCTGCTCTACCTCGGCTCACTCTCATGTTTTGTGTCATGGCAATAACTAAGGCAACTGGTAGCTGCGCCGTTTAAGCCAGTCAACCGCTCCAAACTAACAACACAACTTTCACTGTTCATGAACTGTTTATTTGTCCGGAAGTGAAACTTCGCAACTTCCTTCGCAAACAAGGAGTAATATGGCCCTTTAATACTGTCAAAATTTAACGTTCCAAAACGAAGAGCTGATAAATTTGGAGAAGTATGAAGAGTGTGGGCCGGTTATGTCTGACTCCGATTAATTCAAAACGCCAAGTCTCCAAGAGAAGCATACTGTGAGAGTG